AAATTCTAATGAAAAAAAAAATAAAGGCAGTTTTTCTTTTAAGTTGATTAGTTTCATTTTTTCGATTATATTTGCTACTAGGTGTTCTGTAAAAACCCGTAAAGACAGATTGGAATGAAACCCAATTCAATTGAAATGAGATTTTTTTTTTTGTTACTTTCGCCCAAATTTAGTCATGTCATATTAATGTGTTAATTGCAGAACTCTTTGTCCTTCTCTTGAAATTAAAATTATAATAAGAACCATGATTTATCACCATGATTAAATGTATTTATGTAATTGAAAGATCATTTTAAGTGGTATAAGATAGCGCACTCAACTATCACATAAATATTTAATTTCATCATAAAACAAAAGCTCTTTTCAAAGACTTTTACAACTTTCAAACTTGAAAGAAATAAAACCAAGTATCTCCAAATTGTTTTTATTATTTATAACGAGATATCAGGAAACTGAATAAACACATAAACAAATATAATTCTAAATAGAGAATTTTCTATTCAAAAATAGAGAATTTTCCATTATTTATAATTCCATTATAAGAATAATGGCTGAAAATTCATATTCCATATTAGTTCTAATTTCTTAAGAATATTCTTTTATATGATTTCAATTTAAAAAGCATATGTACATGAGTGAAAAAACGATAAAAAGAAGGGCGGCGGGGTGCTAGAAACAAGATATGTACTTAACATAAACACAATTAACCGAACTAGCTTAAAATATTACTTTTATTATGCACAAGTATAAAATCTCAATGCATTAAGCTAAGCTTTTAACTTTAAAAACATTTCGCTTAAAAAAAATGTTGTCGTCATGAGATTTTGTTGCTAGAAATTTTATTCGTAAATGATCGGCTTGCATTTAAGTTGTGTTTTTGCTTTTGAATATTATTATGCAATTAAAAGCATAGCAAAGATTTAACTGCAAATATTATACAATTTCGGTTTGTAATAAAAGAAATGAAATAGCAACAGCCTAGTATAAAAATATGGGAAATCTAATACTCACAAATTTTTTTACATGTTTAATTAAAGAAAGGCGTAGATTAGGTTAATATCCAGATTGTCACAATGACTTCCTTTTCAATTCCTCGTTTAAAAAACTGTTCTGTTCATAGCTCCTTGTATAGGACATTTTAACTAAAGCAAGGGTGCTGTACCATAGCTTAACAGCGCTTAAGAAAATTACTGTGCTGTAACAAGTTATAGTATAAATATCCTGATATGTAGATATTTCAATTAAGAAGTAAAACTAAACGTAAATTAGGCACGTAAATTTTACGTAAAAACGTTAGGTACGTAAATTTTTTGTATACTCGTATTATGCAGAATCATGATTTTTTTTAAGGAAGCATGTCTTCAAAATTAAAAGGCGTATAGAGGTGATGAGTTTCGAAAAAAATGGCGAAAATTGTGAATGTCAATTTAAAAAATTTTCATTTTCAGTTAAATTTTAATGCACTCGGTATAACAATTTATATTAAGTTAATAAAAGAACTCTTTAAAGTTTTTCAAAAATTAAACCTAAATTTATGCAATTAGTTTTTACTTTTTATTTTCCCCCTAATTGGAAAGTAGATAAGCTGACAGTATTCTTTTGTTAGTATGGCATTAAAATATGGTAGTATTAACTCATTAGTATAGCATTTAGAGTGACAGTAATCCAATACGGAATGTATTGGAAAAAAAAAAACTACAAACTTTGACAATGTATGACGTTCCATATTGTATTTTTAAAAAAGATTTACAGTGTTACGCATTCCGGATTATATAATATACGTTATCGAAGAACAAACTGTGCATCCAAAAAATTTGGGATGCGTTGTGCAAACTTTTGATGGAACATATTACCAGAATACTTTAGTTAATATTTAAGTTGACATATAAAGCTAATTTTTGACTTTTTGCTTTGACTTTAGTGTAGAAATGTAACAATAGACTGAAATTCTTATGGAGGATATTAATAATAACCTCCATAATATGTAACAAACAATAAAATGTTAGCGTCAAAAAATCAAAATTTTTAATAACACGAACTTTACATTTATACGTCAACGCCGTGTTATTGTATTGTATTTTGTCATTAAATACGTTTTCAAGATTCACTTCGTACATTCCGTATTATCTGTCCTGCCACTATAATAAAAATTTAAATTTGTAAATTCAAAAATCCAATAATTTTAAGAAAAATCAACAATACACGATAACAATATTAAAAAAAATCAAATATTTACAAAAGAATTTCCAATATTATTTGTTATACTCTTACATCATAAAGCTCTTTTAATAATTCTTATTAAATTTTCATATAAGATTTTGTTTGTATAATGGAAAAATAAAACTTGCTTTGTATTTCTATAGCTTTTCATCATAATATTGACTCATTTACCGTTGTTTAAAATATTAAAAAACCTCTCATTTCAGTAGGTATATTTACAGAAAACAAAATTCACATATTAACAAACATAAATAAATACTTTAAAAATAATATAGCTTTGGTTTTTTGCACAACGCTTGCAACGTGACTTCCCCTTTACGATACTTTGTTATACAACAAAATTATTCGAGAATTTAAAAACGCACAAAGTCACGTTGTACACGATGTGGTGTTTTCCACAATTATTATTGATAGATTCTTATTTCTTATTATTATTATTGTTGTTTCATATATAGAATCCTTATATGTATTGAAAATTGTATTGAAATAAAACATATGTATAAGAGACAAAAATATAAAAGCTTTGCAATTTAATACAAACGCATAAGATTTGTACTTTACGAAAGTTTCCGAATCATTTGTGAATAATTCAAAAATATTATTTTTATTTTCTATGCTATGCAAGTCTAATATTATTTGTGTTTTGCATTTAGATTTTAATTATTTAATTAAAAAGTTTTCAATGTCCATGTGGTAGTACATTGACTTTAAACGTTCATGAAAGTTTGTCAAAGAATCAAAGCAAAATACATGATTTTGAAGACGACGACTATGAATTTGAAAATTTTTGAATTAAATACAATCATATCTGATGAGAACAGAAGTGAAAAAATATTTTGTATATCACATAGTTTCCAAGTTCAATTCAATAAAAATCAAAAAATTCTGTCAACATTTTAATAAATCAAAACGCTATGAAATTTTCTGAAATTTCACTTTTTCGCGAGTTAGTAGCAATTTTCTGTAATTTTCTGTAACTATGCTATATCTGTGAATATAGCATTTAAATTTAAATCCTTGAACAAAAATTACATTATTTGAATCACGTAGGGTCATGTCTGACATATCATAAAATTTTGATCTCCAGTTTCTCTTTTTATTTGTGTCAAAAGGATTTATGTAGACAGGTCAAAATGTCAAACAGGTTTTACTTTCTTTTATAGGGACTAAACAAAAAATTTGAATTTTTTTAAAATTCAATAATAAAAAAGCTTTATTGAAATAAATTTTCATGAAAAGACTTTTTTTTGTAACAACTCACTCTAACTGCCGCGTCAGTCAAAAAGGTCTGACAAGTTATACTGTCCACAAGGACCGGAAAAAAATGGTTTCCGCTACCACGACGAATTTTATAAAAAAAAATTAATACCATTTTAACAGGTATCTAAAAATCAGAAAAATCCCATTTCACTGTCAAAATTTTTCTTGATTTATCTATCTATAATAGCCGTCAGTCTCTCAAGATAATATTCTAAGGCTGAATGACGAAGCAATTTGCAAAAAGCTCTTTGTCAGATCGAAGCGTTTGCCAAAAAAAAATTTTTGGTTTATTTTTGTCAGACATTTTTGGATTACAATAACCTATTCAAAAAAAGGCTCTAAAATATCGTGGCTCATAAAGAGAATTCTTCAAAAAGCAATATGCGAACCAGCCAAATATACGGTTTAGAAGTTTTGCCTACTGCCATAAGAACTAAGTGTTCATTGTTAGAAAAAACACAAAATGGGCACTTTCCCAAAACTATATTTTCAAAAAATTTGCAAAATGGAATTAATATATAAAATATGACGAATTGTAAATTAATAATTTAGAATTACTTTATAATTGCATAAGATTGTCATTTGCAAATGAAAAACAATTGACGTGATTGACATGATTGTCAAATTTATGACGTTATATGGAATAGTGCCTTATTTTAATAGCAAGATAAAGGACAATTCTTATTCTAGTAGCATCACATAAGATCGTAAAAAGAAAAATTTAAACGTTTTGGCGAATCCGGCAATATTTTGGTAAGATCATGAAAGAAGTTTATACCTGAGATCTAAACATAAAATTCAATAATATAGATGAAAATTGAAAAAGCTGTTAAACGTATCAGAATAACAAAATATTTGGGATTTTGTTAATAAATATTTTGAATTAAAAAATAAATATTATAAAGCTTGCAAATCAATTATTCATTAGAAAAATTCAACACAGCCGCAATTCTATATGCAAATGTATGCGTTTTGTTTTTTCCAAAGAAGAAGAAAAATATAAAAACAAATTACAACTACAAATAAAATTTAAAAGCTATTTTAACATTTTGCTGGCTTAAACAACTTCAATTCAAACAAGAATCGAATCAGTTTCGTTTCGAATATTCTACCGTTCAGAAGTGTACGTTTAATATTCTTATATGGAATTACCGTTATATTTCAAGAATATTTACAATTAAATTATTTAATAAAATTTTGAAATTAGAAATTAAAATTATAGTTACAAAAAATATAAATTTTTAAACAAACCCAAAAATAATTGTTAAAAAAAAATTGTAAAAAAAATTATTAAAATTTTTTTTTAAAAAATTAAAACAAAAAATTTACTTAAAATTTATTAAAAGTGTTTTTATACTAAAAAGGTATTAAAAAATTATGAAATTTTACATTTTTTTTTATTAAAAAGAAAAAATTTTAGTAAAATTATTTGTAAATAAAAAAAATTATTAATTGTGAAGCATGTAATAGAAAAAATATACGGAAATGCACACACAAATATAAAAAATTTTATTAAATGTTAGATAACACAAAAGAGATAAACGCATACAAACGAATAAATGCAAATATAATAAAAAATAAAAATATCGTTTTGAAAATTTTTTTAATTAAAATATGCTTAAAGTGTAAAAATAGCAGAGAATTAAGTTATACAACCGCAGTACATATATTAATGAATCGTATACTGAGCTGAGAAAGTGAAATAATGCAGAATTGCATCTAAAAACAAGTAGAATTTTAATTATTTGATATATGTAGTATATACAGTGATGCTATCCATATAATATCACAAAATGATTTCTTAAATAACAAAAGTTAAATTAAATGTGAAAATTATTTCAAATCGCTTGCATATTTTACAGATTTTCAATAGATTTGTATTATTATATAAATAAAATAATATTTTAAGAACAAAAATTGAAAAAAAAAATCCGGACAACGCAAAAAACAATTTGACGGGGACTGTTCATATAACATTGTAAACGCTTAGTTTTCTTTCGTAAAATATATTGAAAAATTTTTAAAAAATATTTTATAGTCAACTAATATCACAACGTAACCACTTTACTGAATAACCAACATAAATTACGATCAAATTATTAAGATCAAATTACTAAAAAATCAGAAGTTTGATGGTTTATTTTGAAAATGGCCTAAGTTCATTTTGAAATGAAAATTAAATATTGCTCCGTTAATAATAAACTTAGAAACCATGCAATTTTTCTTTATTTAACAATTTTGCAATAATTTTAAATTTTAAATAATTAAAGCCAGAACCATACCTAACAAAAAACAACCTTAATCCCAAAACTTTTTCTCTTAACCGCGCTTCATTATGCATAAATTTTCTTATTATATTGTAAAATTTTATAAAATCGTTATGCAAATTTAATAAATTTGAATAGTGATATCAAAAACTCATAATAAAAAAATGTAATCTACTAATACCATGGTCTACTAAAACCATATAGCAATGAAAACGATCTATACTAAAAAAGTCTCTTATATGTTATAGAATTTTGCACAAAATTACCAGAAGTCTTAATATAAAACGTTGAATTATAATTTTTTTTTTAGAATTACAAAAAAAAAAAATTGTTCTAGTAAAATAAAATATTTATTATAAAAATATGAGTAAGTTCAAACGTATGAATTGGTAAAAATATGTTGCCAATTATTTGGGCTTTAACCCCATAGCTACTTTAACCTAAACTTAACTTAAAACTGTACCAGCTACAATAATTTCAAAACAAGCTGTAAAAATTCATTAAATTTTGCTTGATGCATTTTTAAATTATTGCCAGAGACAGATCAATAAGTAAATATCACTAAATCCGGACAAGAATCTGTTATAAAACCGTATTTTTTTGCATTTTCAAATGCGTATAACAGTTTCAAAATTTTTTTGAATTATTAAATAGTAGATCTAATAAAATTTATTTTTAAAATTTTTAAATCACAAAAGTTATGATCAATAAATAAAATAATAAAAAAAAATGACGCCTAAAGATATGCAATTTATTTTAAAAATATTTTCTTGAATTAAACATATTATTTGATTTACACAAAATAGAATTTAGTTATTCCAATTGTCATTTAAATTTGAAATTCATTCGCAAATTTTATTTATGTTCCTATAATTATAGGAATTTCTTAATGTAAGTTAAGCATAGTTTTGAAGGAGGAAAAATATCACACAAATTAATTTATTTTCAAATTCCTGAGTGATATAAGAAAAAGGACTGAAGCCCATTACTGTTACTATTGTAGTGAATTTTAATTGACTGTCTTTCTCATATTTTAAAATTAAATTTTTTGGGGTCTTTTTATTATTCTAATTTTATATTTTGTGATTTATTAAAGTTAAAGTAATAACACTTCTCTCATATGTGTAAAAGTGAAATTAAAACAAATAGTTTACCATCACAAATATTTTAAAAAACAATAATTTCCTAAAAAGGAAAAGAAAAACATAAAGAGTAGTTGTAGTTTTCCATAAAGAAACTTCTAAAATTCTTCTATAATATGGAAGAACTGCGTATAGAAAGTTCAACGAGCAGACCATATTACTCCGCAATTTCAAATATTTATTGTGATGTTTCATGCCAAATTGTAATAGAAGTGTCACAGTAAAGTTATAATTAAAGTGTGCGCGACACATATTATTGTCGAACAGTTTTGGTAATCATTAAACAAACCTTATATGATTGTGTAAAAGTATCTCTTTTACAAATAAATATGAATTTAACTTAAGCTAGTATTAAAAATGCGACACTGTTAGTATGGTCATCTGGAAATTTTGAATTCCTGATGAGGAAAGTTGATTAGAAAAATGGACACTTATTTTAAAACAAGCGATGGTTTCATTCAGTCATTTTTGTGCCAAAGAAAGTTTTGAAAAATTTTTCGATATCACAGAAATGATAATAACAACTATAATATAAATATAATTAATATAATTAAATAAATAATATAATATAATTAAATTTGTTACTTAGCATATCTGCGCGCTTCACAGTCGATATGCAAAAAATATCGAACATCGAAAAACACTGGAATCTATATACGCATGCGTATGTAAAAAAAATATGTTGTTTATTCAAAGATCGCAACAATACGCGGCAGTATAGCTTGGTTGACATAATAACTGTATATTTTCTCTATAGCAACGTAAAATATATTATGCAATTTTTGAAATGACATTGTACCCATTTATGCGGTTTGACGATAATAAAATATGAATTGAATACGCCTATATTATATTTATTAAATAAAAACTTTCTTTAAATTCTATTCCTATATAAGATAGAAAAAAAGGAATGAAGTGCACTGAAAAACTATTAATCACGCTATGATTTTAATTTAATCGAACATTGGAATAATAAAATGGAAAAATAATTTCATAAGAAAAAGTATTTAGCATACTAAGTTACTTTTAAAATATTTGGATATAAATTTAGAAATTTGATAAAAGTTGTTTAATTGCACTCCAAGCATTTACCAAAATATATTTTTGTCTAAATAGTAGAGTAATAGTTTAATTAAAATTTAACTAATTACGAATATAATCAAATCAACACAAAATTTTCCGCTAAACAAGTATACATATAAATAGAGCAGCAGGTAACTCCCTTTAATATTCAATTGGTGTGTAGTGGTTAATATTCTCCAAAGTGGTTAATAGTCTCCAAAAAAGTGCTTAATATTCTCCAAACGAAAGCTATACTCGTATTTAACAGTTCACTAAGATATAAAATACAAGAAGAGCCATTTTATTGTACTTTCTTCAAAAACTATTACTAGCAAAACTACTACATTAACAAGTATTTAGTGAAAACAAAAATATTTTCCATATAAAAATTTTATCTCCAAAAATGTCATTTTCACGTCCTTCTATCTAATTTATACATATTTTTTTAACTAACTGCAAATAATTCGCCCTTGTTTACCATCTAATAATTATTTAAGACTACAAATATTTTTCAAAAACTATCCCCTAATTAAAATTAACTGCGCTTATTAAAAAAGTTAAACCGGCATTTAGGAAAAAAATCTATTAAGTTTTTATTTAATTTCCTTGTTAATAAGGACATATCTCAATGTGTAAGCATACAATGTATAAGTAGACTTAAATTTTCTTCGAATAATCTCTAAATAGCCTAACTTTTAGTTGTCTTTTAAAGTGCTCATCACCAAAATTTTCGGATTACATAATAAGCAATAAACATACAAACAATGACATACAATTTATGAAACAAATTTCTCTGTTAATTTTGTCCTATTATAGCCTTTAAAAATTACTAAAAGGAATACAGAATTAAGGTTGAATTGCTCATACTAAATGATACAAAAATTTCTACACGAAATTTACATTTTCCATTTAACAGTCATTTAGTTTTTCAGCGTAAATTTAAAAACGCGAATTAAAACGGCTTCTTTCTTAGAACTTTGTTTGTGTATTAATACACACATATAGAAGCATTTAACTATATCTATACATTCAAAATTATTCAAGAATTGGTATCTGCGTGTAAGAATATAATATACAAAATATAGCTTGCTACGTATATACATTTAGCTTAATCCACGTTAGACAACACGTGCCTTACAGTGTTTTTTTTTTACTTTTGTTCAATTCAACCTGGCTGCTAATCAATACATTCGTCTGTAAACAAGCAGTTTTATGAATGTATGTATGTTATTTATATCTTTCAGTGTTATCGTTCATCGACTTTTGGAATTTAAAAAATAAAAGGTTTAATACTCAAACAATAAGACGGTATATTTTTTTGACAACCTAGTATTTTCTTACAAAAATACCAATTTTGTGTAATTAATTTAATAGCGAATACTTATTCTAAAATATGAAATATTTAAAACAACCAATAAATTCGGAATTGGGTAGAAATATTTCACAGATTAGTAGATTTTTCTTAATGAATTATAATTCCAAACGGCAATACTTTTTGTTCGCAATTCATTTCTTTTATGGATTCGAACTAACACATTTGCATGATGTACGTGTGTTTAAGCAATGTAAAATAATTAAGAAAAAAAAACGTTTGCTATCGGCTTTTTCAAACTTGTTTTTTTTTTTGTTTTAATTAAAAGCATCCCAGCTTCATAGCTTTTCTTATCGATTCGATACCAAAATTATAATAATATTAAATTAATTTACGTTAAGTGATGTAATAATTTTTTATTGCAAAAAAAATTAAAAGTTAATAACTAAAGCTTTATTTGTAAATATTATAAAATATGGGCGTGTGAACTGAAAAACAATGTATTTAGGTACATAAAATTCTATCAAAATAAAGTTGTAATTTAACACAGAAACATTAATGAATTAAAGATATAGTCAAACATTTAATTTTTTTAATTTGATTTCAATTATCTCAAATATTATTGCATAGATTTAGGAGAAATCTAATTAATTATTTATTTGAATTCGGCGTTGATTTAGATATATCCGCCAGTCCGTCCGATAACACAATAACTCAAAAATGAATAAAACTAACAGCACCAAACTTTCACAAATTGTTTCTTTTCTGCCCGGAAACTAATGAAGACATTATTATAAAATTTTGTAAACGTGTGTTCAATAATATTTTACATATTTTACATATATTCTTAACATATTTAATGGAAAAAAATAAGCTAATTTGTCTTAAAGCTAATTTTATATATTCGGAAATATGTTAAAATTCGGATAAAATTATCTGCATGAAATTTGGCAGTTGTATGCCCAATTATAGCTCAAATATATTCTTGAAATTTTAACGGAAACAGATAATTTTAAATATTCAGAAAAATAATAAAGTTGGATTCATAAAACGTAACAGTCGTGTGTTCAGACATATTGTTCAGACATATTAGTGAAATTTTTGCGGAATGACTTGACAGATTCAGGTAGCTACCATACAACTTTTAATGCTATATTAAATAATGCAGGCTATATTAAATAATGCAGGCTTTTACTTGTTCATATTCGATTATTTTTTTACTGATGCCTGACATTAAACCATTAAACTTGTCTGAATTCATTTACATATTTAATTAACTTCTTTGTATATCAAAGCACGATAGCTATACTTTTGTTTACAAATTATGCGATAATTTCTAATAAAATAATTTTATGTAATTTTAATATTATAAGGATAAAAATGTGGATCACCTATAAACTTATTGTAAAAGAATTAACAAATTAAAGTTTACATAATTATTTTTGTAAATGAAGACATTCCCAATTGATTGTATAATGTATATAACATTTCATTTTGATTAAAAAGATGGGTGAAACTATTACCACCATTTTATTTTGAAGAAATTTTTATTAATAAGAAGAACTATTACACAAATTACTTACCTAAGAATTCAATTACAATATCAAATAAATTTTGAACAATAATACTCGTAATATGCTGTAATCTTTTGCGAATAAATATTGAATGGAAATTTTTTTCACCCTTCATTTTAATTCCTAGAAATTTTATAAAAATAAAATTTTGATTCTTTAAATTTGTGCATTTGACAAAATTTCCTAATGACAAAATTATTTCTTTAAAATCATAAAATGTGTCTTTAGAATCGTAAAATGTTTGAGTTTATTGATGAGAATCAAGCTTTTTACATTTTTAATAAAGCTCTGGTTTACAATCAAATTTGACTAACACAAAACGAAAGAAATGACAACAGTTTTAATTTATATTAATATTAATTAATGATATTAATTTCAAAAATTAATAATTGTGATTTCACTAATCCCAAGGATTAAGCTATTTTTCAACAAAACTTAATCAATCATTCATTTCTTAATTAATTGTTAAATTTCTATTTACTCAAACAAAATGCCAAATAAAATGTAACAAAAAAAAACTAGAATATAAAATAATTTTAACGTCATTAAAAAAATAAAATGCGATACCACCCTGCGTTACAATAAGCTTCGAAATACTTAAGATAATAATAATAATGCGTTATCAGCACAACGTATTTCATTGACTCATATCAAAGCAACAAAAAGAAACAGTTATTTCATCGCCTCCAATTACATAATTTATGAAAATTTTCACTTCCTTTCTCATATTTCGACCGTCCTTTTTGATAATTACTGTGACAAGATATTTGACACAAAAATATAAATAAAAAAAAATTATAAATATTTTGGGAGATCGTTTACTTAATTTTTTGTTATATAATTTGAAAAACAAAAAAACATTACACGCGTCTAATTTGAAATATTCGGTTTGTTTCACTGCCGAATTAAAAACTGATTCAAAAATTTAAATAAAAATTGAATAATACTTTGTAAAGTAGCACATTTCCTTTGGAAATTGTAATATTAATTATGACTTTTAATTGTAATGATAGGCCTAACTATTTTGGACAAAAACCATTATTGAAGTTCTAATCCTAAATGTACGCTATACAAAAATACAAAATATTCTAAAGAATGCTAAAATAATTATATAATTTTAAGCATTTATTGAATCAAGTCAATTACTAACTCTTATTTATCCCTATTTTACTGCAACTATAACTGTTTGATTAAAACTTAAATTTCAAAAGAAAAAACATTGGAAAACTGGTTGCCTAATTTGAGAGGCAGTACATTATTTAAAAGAAGGAAGAGATAAAAAGTAACAAATTATATTGCAATTAAATGAAGGAATATCAAAAATTTAAAAAAAAGAAATGTTGTTATATAAGGTTAGATAACCTTGTATCTGTTGATACTAACAAAAATATGAACAGGTACCATTAGATCCTCATATTTTCGGCATGTGTGAAATTATATAATCCAGAACTTATGGAAAGAGACGAAACAACAGAAATATAAAATTATTAAGCGCATCTTTCCAAATGTTTGTGGTAAAAAAGGCCACAGAGAATTCACATTTAATGCTTTTATACTCGCTTGTTCATTTTGTTTTTCTTTCACACATTTGGCATCCACTTCTTAAACGTTTTGAAATGTGTTTTTAATTTCTTTGACAGTATTTTTGCATTTTATATAAAATTTATAATTATTTACTCTTTCTTTCCTAATTTTTATTTTTATTTACAGAAAAACTTGTGCCACACAACTGTCACAACACAAAAATATTAAAATTTATTGCTGAAAACATTACAAGAAATTTTAAAAATTATCCAAACTTTTGAAAAAATGATGCATAAAGTTGATCCAACTTAATTTTTTCCAAAATAATAAAATCAATTTTCAAAACCTATACATAAGAAGAAACTTCAATATAAAATACCTTATTGTACAAATCATCGAATACAAGAAAAAATCCATCGAACATCTCATCTGTATTAAAACAACATATTAACACAGAAGTTTTTTCATTAAAAATTTCATCATTTTTATGTTATAGTATAGGCAGTTTTAAGTGCTAATATAATTATTATAATTTTTAAGTTCACGCATTTTTAAATACGAAAAGCTTTACAAAGTAAAAAAAGAATCTCGTGGCCATTAAGTTATGTCCACAGACATTACTATAAACTGCAGCAGCGGAAGTTGTATTACACAGCAGCAACAAAAACAACAGCATCAATCACAACAACTTAATAATAGTTGTAGCAATTTAAAACGTGAAAAACATACTGTTCATTGGTTTCGTAAAGGACTGCGTTTACATGACAACCCAGCACTTCGTGCCGGTATAAATGGTGCAACAACATTACGATGTATTTTTGTAATTGATCCATATTTTGCTGGTAGCTCTAATGTTGGAATAAATAAATGGAGGTAAAAAAATAAAATTAACTAATTATAAACGTATGACAAAATTAATAATCACATCAAATTCAGGACACTAAATAAAATAGAAGTAATTTTTTAGATTAAATACCTTTCTAAATTGTGGCCTTAATTAACTATTTTAGTTAATTTAGTTAATATTTAAGTGCATACTCGAAGATAATAACTCGGCAGAAGGAGAATTTTTTATCTAGTAAAATAAAGTCTTTAAACGATTAAAAATTTTTTTATAATGCCGCGTTGCCGTGTAAGAGAAAAATTCTTTCGAAAATGAACGAAAAACCAATTAGAGGTATAACGTATTATTCGACAACCTAACATTTTTTCTTATAATTTTTTTATGATATAAGAGTACAAGAATTCCCGGACTTTCTTTGTATACAGAATTTAAAATCGGATTTCAGTTTCCACATGGAACAGTTTATTATAAATTTGCATCATTATGGCTTTGAAGAATTAAAACTTTGACAAGTAGAAAGACATGAAAAAATTTTGTTCTAAAGAAATAACGCATTTACTAAGATAAAGGCGGAAAAGGCGAATAAGAACTTTTTTTTTCAAAACTTTTTAAAAATTCACAAGACATTCTCTTTGTCGCAACACCATTATTTATTTACTGTACATTTTGTGCATTTCTAGTTTACCTTAAAAGTATTCAAGTTGTCCAGTCTACTATTTAATTTTAATTTAAGTAAATAAATAAATAGTATAGCAAATTCTTAATCCTCAAGTTGAAATTTGTTCGTTTTCCGCTAAAAATGTCAAATTTCCAATAATAAATTTTTAAGTAAATGCTCTGCATTAGGTTACCTATTATATGGTATGTCAACATAAATTTTAATGGTTCTTTATGTAAACAAACTTTACCAATCATTAAATTTGTAGTGATGATTCTCTAAGTTCTTATTCTTTATTGAAAGATTTCATCTTTAAGGATTCTTGTGAATTAATATAATTTATTTATTTAAAACCTATATGGGTTCCAATTTCTTCGTATATAATATAGCATTATTTATCTAGAGTTTCACTTATTACTTACATGTCACGTGTACATCTGCTTAATAAGATTTCTCCCTTAAACTAAACCCAAAAACAAAAATTACTACAAATACGTGTATAATTTTCTAATGACGTCAATTCTTGGATAAATCGTTACATAATCTCAACAAAAAAAAAAATTAATAACCTTATAATATCCTTTTTTGTATGCCCTTTTCATAATCGTATATCGATGCGATATAATAATCTATATTTTTTTTTAAGCGTATTTAAATTAGTCAACATAAATTCTCAAAATCTTTCAATAAAATAAAATACTTTGGTTGACATGTAAAATAAAATTTAGTTCCCACTTATAATGCTTCAAAGTAGCCTATAAATACTATGAATTTCAATTAATATATGTACATGTGTTTGTATTCCAACAAATTATTTAACTATAATATTTGTTTTTTTCTGAAATTTCTTCAATACTAACATATTTTTACTTAAATTAAAACCAGACTTAAACACCAAAGTCTCATTTTATTTTCTATCACCACCTCATCAGAAACTGCTACTTGTTTTTAGTTATATTTCAAAAGAATATATTCATCAACTACGTTATATTGTTCCTTCCTTTACTTTAATACCTCATAATTTACTTGGTTTCATAGTTCTTCTTTATGCCATTTATCCTCTTCTTCAATAAAATTTCAAACAAGAATATGTAGTTCGTTCAAGAAATTTAAAATGTTAATAATACTTGTGCACTACAATTATGTACTTTTGATTCACATTGAAAAACATGTGAACAACTATCGGTTCTTTAGAAAAATATTATTTTACAATATTTTTAAAATAAAAATAAATGTAAATTCACAATATAGAAAACCCCAAACGATAGAAAGCACATAAATTGGTTATACTATTGAAGTGTCTTGTTTAATATTAATCCTTTACTAGGAAATAATAACAAAAAGATTCAGACTTTATTCAAATTTATTCAGTCCATAAAATCCGCGAGATGAATTTATTTGAATTTGGAAGACTTGTCCGAATTAGACAGATTCCATTCGAATGAGTCAAACTCACTCTTTAGTTTCTAATCTAATTATAGATTTCTGTTCCAGAAAATTGTCAAAGTAATATTGCTTGGTATACTCCAAATTAAGTTTAAGCGATTAAACCAACCACCGCCTTGTTCTTACAAAGTAGAAACGATAATAGTTTTATTGTCTTAAAATAACAAAAACTTACTACATGCTTCCATTAAAAATTTGAAAACTCTTCCAGATTTTTACTGCAATGCCTAGAAGACTTAGATCGAAGCCTTCGAAAGCTCAATTCTCGATTATTTGTTATTAGAGGTCAGCCAGCAGAAGCATTTCCAAAGTTATTCAAAGAATGGAAAACAACTTGTTTAACTTTTGAAGAAGATCCTGAACCTTATGGTAATTTTAAACAAAATTTTATTATCATTAATCATTTTAATTTGAATTTTGTCTTTAAAGGAAAAGTACGCGATCAAAATGTTACAGAAATGTGCAAAGAATTTGGAGTTGAAGTTATTGTTGCTGTATCTCACACTCTATTTAAATTAGATACGTAAGTTTCAATAATAAATTATAGATATTCTTTATACAGGATTAGGTTATAATTCGTAACTATTAAAAATGAAATTAATTTTTAATATTGCAGAATAATTGAAAAAAATGGTGGCAAACCGCCATTAACATATTATCAATTTCAATCCATAATTGCATCAATGGATCCACCGGCACAATCAGAACAAGCTATTACTCCTGAATGTTTGGGAACCACCTATACGCCTATCATGGATGATCATGATGATAAATATAACGTACCAACATTAGAAGAATTAGGATTTGATACTGAAGGTCTAAAAGCTCCTGTTTGGGTTGGCGGTGAAACTGAAGCCTTAGCACGTTTAGAAAGACATTTAGAACGTAAGGCATGGGTTGCATCATTTGGTCGACCTAAGATGACACCACAATCTCTATTAGCAAGTCAAACAGGTTTATCACCATACCTAAGATTTGGCTGTTTGAGTACAAGACTTTTTTATCATCAACTAACAGGTATAATTTTTTTAATATATTATTAATCAAACCAATATATTTTGAATTTTTCCCATTCTTAGATCTTTACAAAAAAATTAAAAAAGCGATGCCTCCTTTATCATTACATGGACAATTACTATGGCGTGAATTTTTTTATTGCGCTGCTACACGTAATGCGAATTTTGATAAAATGGAAGGAAATCAAATTTGTGTACAAATACCTTGGGATAAAAATGCTGAGGCTTTAGCAAAATGGGCAAACGTTAGTTAAAAATATTATTTTATTAATTTTAATAAAATTTAATTTACTTTATAGTTTCGTAGATTAAATCACATTATTTTTGGAGCTGTGTGGTAGTTATTGTAAAGAACTTAAGCAAACGTAAGAAAATTCTGTCACAATATTGATTATTTCAGACGTCTATTTCCAAATTTTAAACACGCTTTGAGCTTTCGTTCATACTGGTATTAATAGATCAAAAGAACGGTTATACGTCCCCAAATGTTAAATTTGTTCGCAGTAGTTTTTTTCTCTTATCTATCCTCTAATAAATTATTTTTTTATTTGAAAAGAAATACCATAGCTTACAACAGTGTTTTCTGAAATTATTCAAAAATTATGGTTTTATATCATAAATTACACACTTATTTTATTGAACTATGAAAAATTTTTTGAACTTTTAAATCACTTTTGAAAGAATACATTAACATCATTGCGTCCATTGTTGCAAAATTATCTTACGTAATTTATTTTTGATTGTAATATACACAAAATATTAACAAATGTCATGAACTTAATTCCACAATTTTACGTAACTCGTTAGGTACCTCGTTATCGTTATAATATCCTTTCAAAAAAAAATTTGTATATATGGATCAGATTTTATATTTTAAAATTATTGTGTAATGATTAAATTATTTTACATCTTCACAAATTGAATTGCATATTGTCTCACATATTAATAAGCCGTGTTGTTATTCACAATTTTGTATTGAATTATTAACGAAATCCCTTACAAAAAGAAAACAAAATTACCATATTTTCCTATTCCAACAAAAGAAGAAATATGCAAAATTTTTTGCCTGTTTTCATTTAAATTTTTTATTTTCAATTTATTTTTTTATTTATGATTACAAAATAAAGGGTCATACTGGATTTCCTTGGATAGATGCAATTATGACACAACTTCGAGAGGAAGGTTGGATACACCATTTAGCTAGACATGCTGTGGCATGTTTTTTAACGAGAGGTGATCTTTGGATATCATGGGAAGAAGGAATGAAAGTCTTTGAAGAATTATTACTTGATGCCGATTGGTCCGTAAATGCTGGAATGTGGATGTGGTTGAGCTGTTCATCTTTTTTTCAGCAATTCTTTCATTGTTACTGTCCTGTACGTTTCGGGCGGAAAGCTGATCCAAATGGCGACTATATTAGAAAATACTTACCTGTACTGAAGGTACTTAACTATAATTGAATTTCCTGTAAGAAATTAAAATATTAACACTATTTTAATAGAATTTTCCTGCTAAATATATTCACGAACCATGGAATGCCCCGGAAAGTGTTCAAAAAACAGCAAAATGTATCATTGGAAAAGATTATCCAGTTCCAATGGTGAATCATGCTGTAGTAAGTCGAACCAATATGGAGCGAATGAAACAAGTTTATCAACATTTAACAAAATATCGAGTGCCTAGAGAAGAAAAAGAAAATCCAAATAAAGGGGTTTCAGCCATTGCTGGTAAAAAATATTTTTAATTATTTATAATTTTTTTTTGGATTTCAAAACCATTTATATTGAATTTGTAGACTATTTAGCTGCAGCATCTCATACGCAGTCATATATTCCGTATGCTATATCAAGTCCTAGTCCAACAACAGTAATAGCTAATACAAATAATTCTGGTAATTATTTATGCCAACAATGGACACCAAATAGTCAACAGAAATCTGCTATAGTTAGTAGAGATCGTATTTTGACCGTAAATACTACATCAACAATTACTCAAAATGAGTATGAAAATCAATTAACATCTCAAAGATCAAATAATATGTCGCAGAATGTATTGCCATTAAATATGTCTGAACGTGATGTAAAAGATCGAAATCAAACAAATCAACAGCAATTAGCAATGCAAAGGCAATACTATGAAACACAACGACTTAATTTAGAAAATACAAGACATCAACATCAAGATAGAAGTTTAAGTCAAACTTATTCTCATATTAAAATCTCATCTGAAAACCCATATTACGCTAATAATAAACCAATTATAACGGATGATAATTTAACTTATAGAAAAGAACGTATCAATAACAGCGTTATTATGCATTATGGATATTATAGGCCTATTGAACATGAAAATGGTTTTACAGTTCCAGATAACTATTGTAATGTTTATCCGGGAACAGGTAATAATCAATGTAATCATCGTGAAGTTATTGTTTCACCACATAGTAATAACATTGCGTATAGAAATCAAAGCAGTATACCAGAAAATGAGATGATCTTTCGAAGAAATAATCAGGAACAATTACTTCAACAACAACACCAACAAGATCGTCAACATCTGCAACAACATCAATTAGAAGCCCAACAAATGATCGATGTTAAAGCTGAAAATGAAGATTGTCAAACAAGAGCTCCCAGCAGTAATGTAAATGAAACTAAAGCTTTGCAAATTAATTTAAAATGTGAACTTGAAGAGCATGAAAAATAAAAACAAAAATTTATTACACGAATATTTTAATATAGAAAATTTTAAATAATATTTTTATTATTTTATTTAAAAAAATTTCTTTATTGAAAGGGCGAAATAAGATATTTTTTTTTACATTATTGTCATTAAATTATCGAAAATAATTTTGTGTTATATTAAAACTTGCCAAATTCGTTTGATTTCTTCTATCACAAAATTTTCGAGATTTTTCTAAGTATGTACATACTTACAATTTATTTGACAATATCTAAAATATTAACTGTATTAAAAAAAAAAATTTGTGTCCGCAATCAATTCACATTTAAAGTTATATAAAAAAGTGATCTCAATATGAATGTTAATCTTTTAATTATTTCCAGTTATTCGCAAATTATCTTCAATTACATTCATAAAAACATTTTCAACTCAATAAAAATAGAAAAGTGAAAAATATTTTATCAAAAAACGATATAAGAAAATTCAACATTACCTTAGCACAAGTTATTATTGAATTATAAATTTTAATTCAAAAAATTTCTATTTATTCTACATTAAATTTAAGTAATGCAAAAACCTCTCTCATGTTAATATATATTAATAATTTTTTTTTTTATTTAAAGAACAATAAAAAATAAACATTGTTTTATTTTTAAAATTTTTAATTATCACATTTTTAGTAAAAATTGAAAAAATTTCAAAATTACTCCAAGGCAAAAATTTTCTCGATTTCAATCAAACAAAAAATTGTTGCATACAAAAATTACATGCACACAAAAATTATAAAAAAAAAACAAGAATATTACAATTTAGAAATCAAAAAGAATTCAATAATTAAAAAATGCTCAATTTATTTTTAATTTTAAATTATTTTACTAGTTCGTATAACGGTATAAACTTTAAAATTAAAAATTCAACACGGCAACACAATATACAAAATTTTTGAAAAGCTCTTTATTAAGTTTAGTTATTTAAGTTTATATCAAATCTTATTAGAACAACTTTTGAAAAGAACATAAAATTTTGATATTTACTTATACATATGAGCTTTATAAGAACATTATTGCTTTTGACATAAAAATAACAAAAACAAGAGCTTAATTATAACTCAAAAACATATGTTTTTTTTTTGGTAATGCAAAACAGATGTAGATTATATACATATACTTAAATATACTATTAAATCGTTGCGCACGATGTCATATTCTCTCTTTTTATAAAGACTTCATTCAATATTCGATTTCAGTATGCTATATTACGTGAATTAAAAAGTTTTGTGACCGCAAAAGTGTTTTTTCTATGTTCTTTTATTTTTTTCATTTTTAAAATCTCTATTTTTTTAGAGAAATAAATAATTTTATATTATTTATTTTTAATAATATCATATTTAATGAAAGTTTATAAATTATTTAAAATAAAATTTAAGCATTATAATTTGATGGGAAAAATTAGTAGTGAAAAATTCAAGCAGTGAAAGTGAAAAAAAAGAAAAAATTCCCTTCAAAGTGTTTTCGGTTGTTTTTTTTTTCTTACTTAATTTTTGTGATTTTTTAAATTTAATTTATACAAAAAAAAGAAAATAAATTATCACATTTATAAAAGATCAAATAAATTCGAAAACACCAAACATATTTTCGATTTTGGCAAAGAAATAAATAATGTGAGTAAATAATTTTGTTATTTTTTTTTTAGTTACGAGCAATCATAAATTAAAAACAGTTTTTCTACTTTATTTTTATATTTTATTTTTTGAATGTCAATAAATTCTTATTTATTTTTTATCATTTTTTAATCAAAAAAAAAAATCGGCTTTTTCTTCACATTTTTTTTTTTTTTTTTGAATAAATAAGAGACGAACTCATGACCCTTTTTGTACGCATAGCAATTGACAAATTGTATTCAAGTGAGACTACTATCACTGTGCTACAAATATTCAAATAATTTAAAATAATAAACATAAATAACCATAGACGTTCTGTAAATAAATAAAATATCAAAAAAAAAAAAATTATGTTTTTATGATAATAATTTTAAAATTTAATGGACCTTGAGAAAATCGAATGATTTCGATAGGAAATTGTTTGTGTCTCAACAAATTTTTATCGATTCCAGGAAAGGATACAAGATCTAAAAAAAAAAAAATTCCGAACTTTTTTATTTTTTGTATTTGTATAACATAGACATTAGTTTTTATTTCCTTGCATTCAAAAAGCATTAGAGAAACAACTTTCTTTCCAAAGGTTAACAACAATGTGAGCAAAGTACCATACTAGTTGTATTACACACAAGTATACGTAAGATACATTTTATACATTATATACATAGTGTCTTAGCACATGGTTGTTGTTTTCAAGTTCAGACCAAATACAAATAAAAATTTTAAAAACAAAAACTTTAAAAATTTTACTAGTGTAAGTATAGTAGCTTTTTTTTTCCAACTCATTTTTATCTTATTAAAAATGTAGTATGTATGTGTGTGCATTACTCTACTGGAACATTATAAAAAAAAATTAAGTTGTAATTTAATCTATATATGCTTATACAACATTATTGCATTACTTACATACATATGTACATGTATGCGTATATAAAGCTACTAAAAACACTACATTTGTACATACATTTGTAGCTATTCAAATAGTATTGAAAAGGCACTTTTAAATAGTCGTTAATCAGTCAGTCAGTAGGTCAAGAAATAAAAAAATTGCAATTGGAGCTTTTTAAACTTTTTTTTTTTTAATTTTTTATTTTTATGAATTATGATGAATAAACTTTTTTATACAAATATATATGTATGTATTGAACAATAGTACTATATTAAAGAAGGACTTACACTTGTTACTTTTTGTGCCAATAAATGCTAATTGACTTATTAAAGGTAAAAAATTAGTAAATAATCACACTGTGTGAAACAAATCGTTATTGATGATTTTATACATAATTTTATTTTTAAAACTGTGTCTTGTGTTATATTATTATGTATTTGTACTTAGTTTGAAATGCCGCACTACTTTATCATTAGTATTTTAATATCGAGAATTTTTATTATACACTGTGTTAGTATATTAGGCGTTTTCATAAACGCAGTTTTCTCGAACATCCCGGTACATTTTGTGAATAACACAAATGTAGCGAAAATTGTGCTACATTTGTGTTCATTAACAAGTGTTGCTTATTTAATTTGTTCATAAGCATGGCTAATTATTCGTAACATAATGAAATTATTATTAATATTAGTAATGCAATTAAATCACATGATCTATTTTATTTTAGGCATACGGATGGGTTGATTTTTATTTGAGCATTCTTCTGTTGATGCTTTGTTCCAAGCGCATATTTTCAAACAATTTTCATTTCAATATTTTACCATAAAAAATATCTTGTTAAGACACCGACTTTATACAATAAATACAATAAATTATGATTGAAAGGCTATAATAATTGTGAATTAATTAATTTGTCGAATAAACAATTTTATTTTGAAAAATTTCTTTCGTAATTTTTCATAAACAAAAAAATTTTACACAATTTTCATAAAAATAAATTGTATTTGATTTTTTTTATAGTTTATATAATTTATTAGTTTATATTACTTTATATATTATTGAAATATATGTATGTAGGTTATATTGTATGTGTACCAATAGAATAAATATATTGTGCAGCAAATTGTTTTGAAACCTATTTTTCATTAACAATAAAATAGGAAGTCGTAATAATGTTACTAGTGTTGAGATTTGTTTGTAAAATAATTTTATATAAAAACCTCATTTTTTTAACATAACAAAAACAATATTTTAAAAATATTGCATGCATACTTATTAATTATGTACACGTGATTCTAAAATATTTAATATTAACAATATTTAATTACAATTAAAAATATTATTAGAGTTTGTAAGACTAAGATTTCTTCAAAAATATTACAATTAAAATATTAAAATTAAATTCTGAATCTACTTTGAATTAACATAGATTAAATATTTTGTCATTGCATTTTAATTTTAAAATATTTACATAGAATTTTATTTTACCTTCATGTAAAATAATTATCGTAAAATATTACGAAAATAGAAATTATACAAAACAATTATGTAATAATTGTTTTCCAGACGGCAAAACCCATTCTAAAACGAGATTTTTCCGATATTCCCGTTTTCTCAATTACTTAGAACTATATTTAGAAGCTTGTGTTATATAACCAAACTTCTAAATATAGTTCTAATAACAATATAATTGTTTTACATTAACTAAGCGTCACATACAGCGCAAAATCAATCTCTCCTTACGGTATTCAACATTTTTGTTTAAAAATTTTGAAATATTTCATATTTTCACATAAATATCTTGCTGTATTTCTTGATATTATATCAGACGCTTTCATACTATAGCAAATATTGCGCTATTTAGCCAAAAAGTTCTGCTATTAGTTTGCTACAAATTAACCGTCATGATATAAGTTTCCGACGTACAGTGATTTTAACGAAATTTCTAAGAAATATCTACCTACCCAAAATTTTTTTTTTGTTTATGACTTCCCCTTCAAATAGAATCTTTAAATAAAGCATAACATACTCGACGAGATATACTGAAAAGCTTAACCAATCCCATATTACCAGAATTTTTCCAGCAAGACTCAAACGTTTAAAAACAGGATCAGCTCACATTTAATTAATTTTCATTGTCATATTTTATATGTATTTAATGTAAAATGAAAGTAATGACTAGTGATTCTAATATTCTAATAAATAGCTCTACGAGATCGCACCGACCTTAAATTGAACAGTAAATAAAATATGTATTCCTTTACGGAGTAAATTTTGATAAACATTAAATATTATTATTATTTATCAATTTACCGAATCATAAACAAAAATGAGCAAATTTATGGCCTTGATTTAGACGGTATTTTAATTTATTGTTAATTTATTCTTTTGCCATTAAATACTTATATTAAATTATTAATAAAACGCCACAATTTTTTTTTTATATCAAAAAATTTAAAAATAAATTCGTATACTTTCACTTGGGTCAATAAACAACAACAAACGACTAGTCACCTTCAATAACATTCATTGCAGTATAGATCTAATTATTGGAATTATTAAATTTTGATTGCTTTTGGAAAACATGTGTTTGATAAGTTGATGGATAAAATATTTCAATTTTCCTATTAAAATAAATAATCAAGCTTATGATAAGTTTCAAATTATTTTTTCATTCCCATATTTTATATGATTTCTTTTTGAGATTTTGTACGAATATAAAAAATTTGCAACATTGATAATGCTACAATACAACCAATGTAATGAATAAGAATTTAGGTTAAATACGTAATTCCAATTTGACATTCTCTAAATCTACTACATTTCAAATTGTAAGTTCCCCAATTTAATACCTTTCTCAGGTTTTTAACGTTTTTCATAAGTATTTTATTCTTATAATATATACGATAATATCTTAAGTAAACTCATAAATTATTAAAAATTTACATTTGAAAAGAGTAGATTATATTTTATCTTTTGAAATTAATCCATGCATAACATCAGATTTAAATTCAATATTTTAATAAGAAAGTTATAGTTTACTACATAGTTATGAACATTAATTTCTTCTAAAGTGGCACTATAGCTAATATAGTCTATATAAAAGAAATCACGTTAACTACAATTTTTTGATAAACCAATATTGTTTTTATTTAAAAAAAAGTTAAAGAAAATGGGGGCAGTCAATAAATATGGGGGTTTTCGTTTAAGTGCGCTGAAAGTTCTAAATTAGAATTGAAATTTCCAAATCACATCGTTAAACAGTACGCAAAAACTTTAGTTAAGTTTTTTTTGTTTACACAGTCTACAATTTCTGAAACTTCTAAATCAGTTGTTCGAAAATAACGGAAATGATATTCTTTATGAAATTGTATATCAATACCTTTCGCCTTACAATTCATTGCAAAATAAGGAAATTTTAATAAAATTTGAAAACTTAAAGAAAACTTACTTTAATAACCCTTCAATATCTTAATCTGCCATTTTGAAATTTAAATTCTTTTTTGATTTTTAAATTACACAAACAAAAAAAATTTCATGAGGCAGCGACAAAATTTATATTAGAGGTCTGCGCTACATATCTATTGCAACATTTCTTTATTGCAGATTGAATTTCCGAACGCACTTTATTGCGGCCAGTAATTTCCGAACGATCTATATTTTCAGTGTATATGGCGTGAATATTCGAACGTACTACAAGCTAGAACTGTTCTAGCACAGAATAAACGAAAACCCCCTATTCATCAGTTTCATTGGACAATCAAATAATTGTGGAAACTATTTTTAATATTAGTGTTTATTTAGACACTTACCATTTTTAAAATATTAATCAAAAGATCAAGTGCGAGTGTCGGGAAATTAGCGAAATGTCATTTTGTGCAGTGTTTATTTCAATTATGATGAATTGACTGGATATGGATTTTCAAATTCATTAAATTTTTTCTCAAATAAACTGAAAATTGTAGGATTTTCTTATGTTAATTCATAAGTGTTAACTCATGTTAATTCATATAGCTGATTATAACTCATTGAAATATAATTATTTCATTATTTAAGTACGTTTAAATTAAGATAATTTTAAGGCATTTTCGAAAATTAACTCCAATATCTTTTG